AAAAAGTATTTGGTGAAGCCCAACATCCATTCATGATAAAACCCTACAGAAAACTGGAGTGGACATTTTCATCTCAATCTGATGAAAGCCATCTATGACAAAGCAACAGCCAGCATCCTACTAAATGGTCAAAAACTGAAAATGTTCACACTAAAGTCAGGAAGAAGACACGGACATCTACTATCATCCCTCCTATTCAATATACTTTGTGAAACATTAGATGGATGAATTAAACAATAGAAATGAATGAAAATGGGAAAGAAAGAAGTTAAATTATTACTATTTCAGATGACATATTACTCTATCATAGTAAACCTCAAAAGCTCCTTCAAAGACTTCTAGATTTAATAACTCAATTCAATTGCATAGCTGATAGTCAAAACTAAAAAATCAATAACATTCTTGTACAGAAATAAGCAACTTACAGAGAGAGAAATTAGAGAATCCACAACATTCACAAAGCGCAAAAAAAGGGAAATACTTAGGAATCAAGATAACAAAGGAAGTAAAAGATCTTTACACTGAAAATTACAGTACTATGGAAAAAGAGATCAAAGAGATTATCAGAATATGGAAAGATAACCCTTGCTTGTGGGTAGGAAAAAACTGCATAGTAAAAAATGGCGATACACCCAAAATTGTTATACAGATTTAATGCAATCCCCAGTAAAATGTCACCAGAATGCCTCATAGAAGTAGAGAAAACATTTCTAAAACTCTTTTGTAACCAGAAGTACCTAGAATAGCAAAAAAAAAATTCTGGACAACAAAGGGAAGGTAGTGGGCATCACAATTTGTAAACTGAAAAATACTACAAAGCTACTGCTATATGTATGATTTTTTAAAGAATAGTACTATCAAAAAAGGTAGACTCAAGGACCAGTGGAACAGATTAGGAAATGCAAAAACACTCCAAACATATTCAGCCAACTTAACTTGGACAAGGGGGCTATTATTTTCACTGGAAGAAAGATAGTCCTTGTAATAAAAAGTGCTGGATGAACAGTAAAATATACCTTCGTGCTGAAGAGTGAAACTGGATCCATGCCTCTCACCATGCACTCAGCTAAAATCAAAATGGTTAAAAAAATCTAAATACTGAAATGGAAACACTAAATGTGTAGAAGAAAAAAATAGGTGGAACTCGTGACATAGATGGCCTAGATGTAGGCAAACATTTTAGGAACAAACTCCAAACCGCACAAGAAATATTTTTGAAAAATCAAGACGTGATATTTCATCTTATTCAAAAGGCTTTGCACAGCAAAAGCAATCATTGACAGTGAAGCGACAAAAACAGTAGAAAAATGTTCTTTTCCAGCTGTTCCTCAGAAAAATATGACTACCTAAGATTTATAAAGAACAGGAAAAGATCAAATGCCCCAAATTTAAAGACACTATCCAAAACTAGTCATCTGAGGTGAATACAAACTTTCATGAAGAAGAAGTAAAATTGGCAAGTAAATATTTGATAAAATGTTCACTGTCACGGATCATTTGAGATGTAAAATCAAGCAATGGTGAGAGTCCACCTCACTCCAGAAAGAATGGCTATTTCAAGAAATCAGTCAAGGGCCACGGATGTAGCTCAGTGGTTCTATTGCCTGCTTTGGAAGCAAAAAGTCCTGAATTCGGTCCCTGCAACACAAAAAGAAACCACACCTTTGAAAATTACGGTGGGTGGGAATCCATTTTCAGGTCCCCCTTCTGTCTCTCTTAGACAGAAGCTTTCTCTGAAGAAATCAGCCAGTAAAAATGCTGGTGGGGCTGTTTGGAAAAAGGAGCACTTCTCCACTGTTGTGGGGAGTGTAGATTGGTGCAACCACTGTGGAAATCAGTGTGCGGATTCCTCAAAACACTAGGATTAGAGGTTCCATTTGAGCTAGCTACCCCACTTCTCAGTGTCTTCCTGAAAGAATTAAAACCATCACACGACAGTTACATATGGACATCCATGTTTATAGTTTGTAATAGCTAAATCTTGGACAAATGTCCATCAACTGATGAATGGATATAAAAGATGCGCTTTTACATATTTGGTTATTATTATAATTATTATGTACCAGGAATAAAACTCAGGACCTTGTGCTTGTGAAGCAGACAACGGCACCACAGACCTTAATCCCTGTTCGGAGATGTGTTTTTTAAAGTACTGTTTCATTACTCAGCCATAAAGAAGGACGAACTTGATCTATTTCTAAGGAAATGGATGTACCTGGAGACGATACTCGTACGTGAAGTAAACTGGACACACGTGTGCTAATATTGTGTTATTTCCCTCTTATGACAAATAGAAAAAATAAATAAAGATTGCAATATATAATAGACAATGTGAAACAGAAAGAAAATATCCAAATGGGAAGAAGCACGAGGGAGGAAAAGAACGAAGAGAAAAAAGGGAATGCAAGAACAGAAAGAGAAAATGGAAACAAAGCTTTTGTCAATAAAGACCGGAAGAAGGGCTGAAGGGAGAGGAGTGGAGTGGGAAAGATTAGAATCAAGATATATCATACACAGGTATAAATTCTATATGATGAAAGTAATCATTATCTAAATTGTAGCAATAAACTTAAGTTTTTAAAAATGGATATGTACATTCCTATTACTGTGGCAACATTATTCACAATAGTCATGGCACAGATTCAACAAAATGTTAATTAGTAAGTAAATGGACAATGCTATGTCATTTATAGACACAATGAAACATAATAATAGACGCATAAAAATATAATCTTGAGCTTTGGTACAACTTGAACAATCCTTATAACTGTAAATCAAGTAAAACACACCAGGTATAAATAGACAACCACCACATGAGCACATTTATATGTGGACATAGAAAAGCATAATTCCTAGGGACAGTGTAAAGAGGTGAGGAAGAGAGGCTGTGGTATGAAGAATCAGGTGTGATTTGGTGAAAGGACACAAGAGTTTAATTAAACAGTTTCAAGGTATCTATTGTGCATTATGGAGAATACAGTTAATAATAAGATGTAGACTTGACAAAAGTAGAAAGCTCTCTCACGAAATGCTTGAAGCATTTATGAAACACATCATCTGAGAAAGGCAGAACATACAGAGCACAAGTTATCACAACAATAAATTTTACAAGAAAGTAAAGTACAATCTATGACATTGTCAGATACTTTTTTCATGATAAATATGTGTTATGCAAAAAAGGGAAGAAAAATGACTTCCAGTTGTTTGATTTTGCTTTTGCATTTGTCATATGTATGCTATTTTTCAATAAAATTTATTTTTAAAATTCAAAGGATTTTAAAACTCCACTATGGAAATCAATATGGAGATGCCTCAAAGAATTGGGATTAGAAGTTCCACTTGACTCAGCTGGGTATCTTTCCAAAAGAATTAAAAGAATGATTCCAAAGTGATATGTGCACACCCAAGTTTGTAGCAGCACAGTTTGTAATATCTGAAACTTGGAAACAACCCATTTGCCCGTCAGTGGGAGACTTGATAAAGAAGATGTGGTTTTTCTATAAAATGAAACAGTACTTAGCCATAAAGAATGAGAAATTAGAGACATTCATGGAAAAATGGATGCATACTGAGGTTACACTCTTCAGTGAAATAAATAAGTCACACATGTAAATACTGAATACTTTGTTGTGAAAAATTATAATTGCACAAAATATACTAATCGTATAATTGACAGTGTGAAATAGGAAGAAATGGGCTAAATGTGTTGGGGAAGTGTGAAGGGTAGGGGAAAGGAAATAAGGGAAATGAAAAAAAACTGAGAAAATGAAAAAATGGAAATAAAGTATTTGTAAATAGGGCAGGTAGCAGGGCTTGAAGGGAGGGCCAAGGTATGGGGGAAAAATGTGAACCAAAACCTGTCAGGTAGAGAAACACGATTCCAATAATGAATGTAACTGTACTGTAGCATATATCTAAAATGTACCAAGAAACTCAAAAAAATAAAATTAAATTAAATAGAAAATATTTAGCTCCAGCTAGAATGTGATGAATTCAGAACCTTCTTGGATTAGAATTTTAAAAGTGTAAGCTACAATGATTGACAGTCTGTAGATTTCACACCAAGTCAAAAAAAATTGCCCTGTAATAGAGCTCACCCTATACGTGCCACTGAAATAGATTTTAATAATATAACCATGAATTGCATGCCAATTTGAAGAGGCTTTGAGAAATGTATTGTGAAGCAATTGTTTCATTTCCAGACAAATTGTAACATATACTTAAAATAAAATACCATTCAGTATAGAAATGAGAAATAGCTCAACACAAACCAATAAAGCATTAAAAAAAGAGAGAAATAACGGAGGGAGGAAATCAGGGAGGAAGGAAAAATGAAGGAAGCAAGGAAAGGAGGAAGGAAAAATGAAGGAATCACAAGCAATGAAGTGAAATGTCAACTAATGTAGACATTACACCACTATGAATCATATGAATGTAGCTGCTCTACAAGCCAGATACCAACTTTGCTGTCTAAAATCCAATTATTGCTATAACAAGTAGGACAGCACATAGAAGTATGTCAGCTTCAAGTTATTGTTCTCTCTGATTTCAGTCTGTTCCTTTCACTAATTATGTGAATGAGAGAAAATTTCAAAGAACAGTTTTAGAATGAAGACATCGTTGGGAAACAATAAGTATGGTCTTGGTACATCAAACATTTTTTGTCTGATGACTTTCCTTCTATATCTTCGGGAAAAATAGGACTATAATCAAATCGAGGGGATGTACATTAACATCCACACAATTTGGAAGGAAAGCATGCCAACCCTTGATATAAGCTATTTATGCTTAGTTGAAAATCTCACAAATGCCTGTAACCCATCTCACCAAGTTTGGAAATTTATGTGTCATAAAAGGCAGCAAAAGCTACAGAGAGTTACTCGGATGTGTTTGCAGGCACAGAAATAAGAAAAATATATCAAAGCAGAGTCATGGGGAACAGAAGAATTTAAACATAACCCTTAGGGAATACAAACAACCACAAAATAAAATTTACATTTCGCTCAGAGGACACAACATCCACTTAGTTCAGAGGTCAATGATCCATGGATGACAGGAGGCTGCTCTGCTGAAGAGTCTTGCCGTGGCCCCCTTCACTTCGTTGTTCCTCAGGCTGTAGATGAAGGGGTTCAGCATAGGTGTGACCACATTGTACATCACAGAGGCAACAGTGCTGCTTTGGGTAGAAAGAGTGGTGGAAGAACTGAGGTACACACCAAATCCTGTCCCATAGAACAAGGACACCACACAGAGGTGAGACCCACAGGTGGAAAATGCTTTATACCTGCTCACAGAAGAGGACATCCTCAGTATGGAGGAGATGATGAGAAAGTAGGAGAAGAGAATCCCAGCGACAGGAAACACACCCAACACGGCAGTCATCACATAGAGAAAGATGTTGTTGATGAGGGAGTCCGAGCTGGCCACCTTGAGCATCTCATTCAATTCACAGAAGAAATGAGGGATTTCAGTTCCTATGGAGAAGGTCAGTTGTTTCAGTAGTAGAATATGAATCAGGGAGACCCAGAACATGATGATCCAAGACACCAGAAGCAGAAGGCCACAGAGCTTGGGATTCATGATGACTGTGTATTTCAAGGGGTAGCAGATAGCCACAAAGCGGTCATAAGCCATCACAGTCAGGAGAAAGTTATCCATGCCAAGAAAAATATTGAAAAAATAAACTTGAGTGAGGCACTGTATGTAGGAGATTCCTTGGACCTGCGATTGAATGTTCACCAGCATCTTTGGGACCGTGGAGGAAGTTAAGCAGATGTCAGTGAAAGACAGATTGGAGAGGAAAAAGTACATGGGTGTGTGGAGGTGGAAGTCAGAGCTGGCAGCTGCAATGATGAGCAGGTTCCCGACCACAGTGATGAGGTACATGGCCAAGAACAGTGCAAAGAGAAGAGGTTGCAATATAGGATCATCTGAGAGGCCCAGCAGAAGAAATTGTGATGCACCTGTCCTATTCTCTGCTGCCATGTAGTTGGTGTATTTCCTGAGGAAGGAATGAAAAGCAGAACATTCCAGGGACAGACATTCCAAACCTCAGCTAGTTTGAACATTACACAGTTATCCACGAATGTTTATCTTTTCCATTCTGCATTGATTCCTGCCACTGAATGATTCAGCAGCCATGAGGAATTCCATTTTCCTTTTGAAGTGTGTAATCATTAAGCGTTTCTCTAAGTTGCCAATATTTCTGTTTTATTATTTACTCAATAATTCTTCTATTTAACTCTATATGCATTAGTTAATTTCAGACATAGCTCATTCAAAATATGTTGAATTCATATCTTTCCTTGGCTTTCTTCATGTTGCTTTAAGCACTATGATAAATTCAAGAAATATATCTTGAATTCAAATATTTTTATTCTGCAACTTGACCCTTCACACTAAGGAAGGAAAAGCACAACGTTCCAGGAGCAGACATTCAGGACCTCCGCTAGTCGGAACATTACACAGTCATTCATGAATGTTTATCTATTCCATTCTGCATTGATTCCTGCCACTAAATGATGCCCCAGCCATGAGGCCCTCCATTTCACTTTCAAAGTGTGTAATTATTAAGACTTTCTCTAAGTTGTGAAAATTTCTTTTATCATTGACTCAATAATCCTTCTGTTGAACTCTACATGCATTAGTTAATTTCAGACATAGCTCATTCAAAAAATCTTGAATTCATATCTTGGTGCTCTTCATGCTTCTTTAAGCACTATGATATATTCAAGAAATATATCTTGAATTTGAATCATTTTTATTCTGCAACTTGACCCTTCGCACTAACCAAGTAGGTCTGTCGAGTACCTCACTGTTTCTTTATAAAATTGTGGTACTGCTGTCATCTTAATTGTGATGTTTTAAACTGCCTTTGTGTGCAGACAGTCTTGGTAAATGACAACAGTTACTTTTGTTATTATCAGTGTTAAAGTTATTTCAGAACTCCTCCAGTGTTTTATTTTGGGTCTATACGTCCCATATAAAGTCACATCCATGACTTTAGAAAGGGGATGTTGAATCAGACTTTTGGAACAAAGTTGTGTTCCACCAAAAAAAACCATGTCTCTTGAGCAAGTTATTGAAATTCTCTTTAGTACAGGTACCTCATCGCTGCAGCAGGTGTAGTAAGAATTCGCTGCAGGATAGGACTGAAGGCAAAATTCCATGAGGTGGTCCAATGTTTATACTGTGGTTGTTACCTACAAAGGGCATTTAATAATTTGAGCTTCTGTTCTAAATGACTCAGTCAGTCTCACTTGCATGTATATCTCCTATCAATATAACTCTTACACTGAGACCGCCATCAATAATGGAATTCTTCTCCATATAAATATGTGTGTATTACCTCTTTGACTGCCCTACAGCACTCCTATCTAATGAGTATCCCTATAGGTGTTTCTTTTAGAGAGTGCCTACTGGGTGCAGTCTTCCAAGAGGAAAATGTTCTGCACTATATTGACAAGAAGAGTAAACAAACCTACACCACAATTAAAAGCAAACAGTAGACAAGTATGATTGTCTTCGTTTATATGTGTGTTCCTGTGTGGAGTGGATTGAATGAAAATCCCAGGTTCAATGGCCAAAATGTGTAGTTGATGAATTTTATTAAAATATTCAAAAGTGGTATAAACCAATTCACTCTAGAAAAATAAAAAAGATGAGATACAAGTTTAGCATCCCCATGATAACCAAGGCCAATACTATCAAGACCTAAAGCATGGCTATTACCTCAAAGCAGAACAATGTCACTGAGAATCAATGTATGCCACAGAAATAAATAGGAGGGTCTTCCCTGAAAGAAGAATGTATGGCGTGTGAGAGGAAGGATGACTCACTGTTAATCATGGAAAGTAAATAAGATGGAAAGACTCTAGGTTCAGAGAATGGAATGTGTGATTGCTTCAGCAAATAGTAAATTTGCACAGGAGACTTAAGAGACAAGTTTGATGGAGAGCAGGGGATTAGGGCCAAGTGGGAAGTAAGTTCGAGAGCAACATTTAAAATCTTATTTATGACCCTCTCAAATTTAGTAAATTCATGCTTGTTTCTGGGTCTGAGATTTGCCTCATCATGTACCTTTCCAGGGAATTATATTGGGCCTGTCACTGTGAGGGTACTGGACAAATCAAACTGTTGGAAGTATGATGAACATCAGTACCAAAATGTCCACTATGATGCAAAATAGAAATCATCTGACCTATTATATACCTCAGTATAAGTGACTAACAAAGTTAAGTAAAACGTGTTAATATGTACTCTCCACGAAAATTACTATACTTACAAACAAAACCAACTGTGGGAATGAAGGACATAGATATTTGTAAATATAATTCCTTGAACACCTAGGTCAATAAACTGAATTTAAAACCAGAGCCATAATATCTAATCTGCACTTCACAAAACTTAACCGACAGTACTCAGGGCATTATCCAGGGCTGAGAATAATGGTAAATAAGGAAACCAAGGACAATTCCCTATCTCAATCATTAATAGCCATTTCAAACCACATGCAACAGGAGATGGTTACATTAAAAGGCTACTGTGCATTAAATTCATGAACACGCAAATGCTGTCTCCTCCAACTTCAACACAATATTCAACACAACTTCCACACAATATTTTCCTTACCTTTTAAAGGGGTTGATAAAATGAGAAAAAACTTAGATTCAGCATGGAGCATCAGAAATAATGACATTATCGATAGGTGGTATTAGAAACACGGAGAAGTGATAACTACAATCCTATAGAATGCAGCCTATTGGTAATTCAAATTTCCAGTGGTTACACTGAAGAAATTTGCAAATAAATTTAGAAAAAAATGGCTAAAAGCTCATGCAAAATAATCTTTGGTGAGTAGTTAATAAATGAATAACTGGATGCAGAAATTCTGAAAGGAGTCTATACTTTAAAGATAAGAGTCAGAACCCTCCAGAAAATTCCTCTTATTAGAGAATGGCTTTAGATTCCAAACAGTGAGGCAAAGAAAATAGAACAAAGCAGGAAAATAACCAATGGTAGAAAAGCCCTCCAAAGTACACATACTTCACCTTCATAATCTAAAGAATTATAGGAGTTTCCCAGTGTCATTATTTGAAAGGTGAAGATTGTTACCCACCAGATAACTGTACCTGCCCTCCCCGCGATACACAGACTCTGTCCAGCAGTTGTCACTGAAGCTTTCCTTTTGACACCATCTTTGCATAGGAAGCCCACATGCATGGATTTGCATGGCGGCTCAGACAGTCCGAGTATAGGTACCATGGGACTTTCTTAAATTTTCCACAGTCTTGAGTTTGGAAGTCTCAGAGTTCCTCATTAAATAAATTGTTCAATTTTTTTCCCATTTGCCAAACACTTCATCTACCCTGGGGCACAAAAAATATAACAAAGTGAATTTTTTCATAATTGTATTTGTTTGAAAGCCATGGCAAGGGAACATAGTCCTATTACTTTCAAGAATGTTCTGTTTTGCCTTTGTTCTTGTGAAGAAATCATAGGTATCCCCTGAGAAAATTTTAATTTTTCTAGAGAACCAGTTTTGGGAACCATCTCTTAACAATCTTTGGAGATTTTAGAAATCGTTTCATTTTGATAAATTTATGGGAGATAAGAAGTTCTTGCTTATACATTTTCTTTAATATTCTTGTTTTTCCAAAATCATTCGTTTTCTATATAGTAATTTATATTGCAGATAAAACTATACCAATGTGTGACATATAAGACAACATTTAGAAGTATTTTACACCATGTAAAAGTTATGTTTAAAAATATTGGCATTTGCATCACCTCATCTGTTATCACTTTTATGGAAGGAGTACATGCCATGAGTTGAACATTTTTCAAGGATATAACATATTAGGGCCAGCGATTTAGCTTAGTGGTTCCACCTGCTGCTTTGCAAGTGAAGGACCTGTGTTCAATCCCCAGTACAATAATAATAATAATCCAATATACTACGTGCCTTAGTGAATTAATTGAGTTGAAGCGGAATTTCTCATTCTGCTCACTGTTTTGCACATTTCACTGAAATATCTCTCTGCCTTTTTCTGTTTGATTGGCCTCTCTAAGATATTTAGCTTAATTTTTTGTCAGCCAGTTTACATTTTCCCCTGTGATGTTCATCACACCAGAGCATTTTCTTTTCACTTATGCTATATTTCCTTGGTTGGCATTAACTTTTGAGGTCATCCAGCAATGTGTACACATTTGAAGAAGGGACTACTTAAATTGCACATTCACAGAATGCCTTGGCCTTGTATTGCCTCTCCAAGGAAGCCTGTCCAGAGATTCTGAGCAGGCAATGTGGTGTGGTCTTTATGTGTTCCTTTGCTGGGACCACTGTAGCATTAGGAAGGGTGTGGAGCCTCAGATCACTGCTGCCAGCAAAGTACCAGGCTAGAATTGCATGGCCATTGAGGCTGGCAGAGCACTGAAGCATAAACAAAGCCTCCTAGTCAATGATGCTGGCACAGTTCTGGCATAGCTCCCACTGCTGTGATGCTTTTCTGTCACTGAGGTTTTTCTGGAGCCCAAAGCCAATGTACTTAATAGGTAGCGAGGCTGACCATAGATGAAGTCTGCCTTTCTAGGGTGACAGACCAATACCTGGTGTTCAGTTACTTGTAATGATTCAGTCTATGAAAATCAGACTTTTTTCAAGGGATTTCCTATTTCTGAGTTTTAATGTTCCAGCCCCAGTGATATGGTCCGAGTGAAAGTACCATATTTCATTTCTTCCATCCAACTTGCATGATCCTTTCTCTATGTCTTGTACTACAGAAGTTTGGATACAGTTGATGTGAGTTGCAGAAAACTGTCTTTCCTTTTCATTTTTTAGTATTCTTAAAGTACAACTGAGGATTGTGATCCTTCAAAAGATTAATTCAATAATTTGGACAGTATTTTGCTGTACAGATGGTTATGGATAGTGAAACCATGAACTCAATATCTCCACCCAGTGTTTTCTTCCAAAAAAAATCATGAAAACAATTGTTGGGA